ACGCTCAAAACGTCAGGGCTAGCGTCTGGCGAACGCTCAAAACGTCAGGGCTAGCGTCTGGCGTCTGGCTGACGCCCAATACGTCAGGGCTATCGCCTGGCTGACGCTCCAAACGTCAGGGCTAGTGTCGTGCGAACGCTCAAAACGTCAGGGCTAGCGTCTGGCTGACGCTCCAAACGATAGGGCTATCTTCTGGCTGACGCTGCAAACGACAGGGCTAGCGTCTGGTGGACGCTCCAAACGTCAGGGCTAGCGTCTGGCGAACGCTTTAAACGTCAGGGCTACAACCCCGGACAAAACTGTTTATACATTTCAATGCAATTTTTAATTTTCCGCTATGCAACAGTCGTTTCCAAAAGGAACAAACTTGCCCCCCTCCCCATCCCTGGTACAATGTTGTTGGGGCTTAACAGTTCAAGCATGCATTTCTTGTGTTATCGCAAACAATATTGCAATCGGGGAGGAGGGAAACAATCTTTGAATTTGCGACAGGAAGCATTTTTGTCTGGGTGAGTGCAAAAAATAGGTATTTTTGTAATGTGTCTCAACAGGTTTTGTCCGAGGTCGTAGCGTCTGGATGAGGCTCCAAACGTTAGGGCTATCGTCTCGCTGACACTCCACACGTCAGGGCTAGCGTCTGGAGAACGCTCAAGACGTCAGCTTTAGAAACTCTTTACGGTGGTCAATTAATGTCATCAACTCACTTGATGAAACCACATTATCTTGTTATTCCCTCCCCCCCCCCACAACCGCTGTACCGATACGGGAATTAGGGGATCAATCATTATTTATCGCCTGGTGGAGGTCGCAGGATGTTGGAGATGATCATATGGTTTTAGGGAAACAGGAGGGGGAGCGGGAATCGGTCATTGCTGACAGAGTTTTAAGGGGGGTAAAGAAAAATTGACTGCTAATGAGGGGGTCATGATAATACTACAGAGCCTTAGGGGTGATCAGGTAAATTGTATTGTGACACGACCAATATCCTCCGACCCATCCCCCTACCCCCCCTCAGGTGATGAATAATGACCGGCCCCTCACCCCCTTTATTAACTCGTCGACTAAATTGAAGACGTCAGTGACTGGTCGAAACTTACCACATGTACTTGGATTATGGTTAGGTCGGTGGCTGAAGGGAATTCAGCCACGTGTACTTGGATTGAAACCGAGATGGCATTGATTCTGCTTTGCTAAGCGCTGTTATCGAGCCTCCAGTTTCGAGTTTCCCCAACGAACTCGAAGAATTACTTTTTAGTGTGTTGTGATTTCCAACTTTGTTTTGATTGGCTGCTTTGGTTAACTTGGCTCTTGTTTTCAGACACGCGATTGAAAAAATCTTCTATTTACTAAGCATGAATATATTTTTTCTTTCAGCGATGGGAAAATTAGTTTACAAGAGATGATCTCCGCTGTACAGAGATTGAAGGACGCTCCAAGTGAAGCCAAATGTAAGAGAATTGCTGAAATGCTCGACGAAGATCATGATGGTGCTCTTGACTTAGAGGACGTGGGCACGGTGAGTAAGAATTATTGACATGAATTATGGACCTGAATTGTGTACGTAATAATAGATAACCAATTGGGAGGAAAAGGAGCTTGTTAGAAGTGACGGTAGCCTGCGCAGTTTGCGTATTTGTGTGTGCTAAAGCATTCAGCAGCCAAGCTGGGAGAGCTTAGACCTTTGGAGCTATAATGATGCTTCTCAAGGAACTAATCTAGGACAAAGTATTGATTAAAGAAATAACCCATCTTGCTGAATTCGCTTCCGCTATGGCTTCCATTTAGCGCGGAATTAGGCTCGGAAAATACGTTTGCGGTCAAAATCTGTTCTGTGAAGCGAACAGCTTTTTTGAAAGCCGAGGCACGAGGAAAACTGTGAGCTACGGGCGGTGGATAAATAAATGCAAACAGACAAAAATAAGGAGAAATAAATGGCTCGCCACAAAAAAAGCCTTGGCTGTTCAGAGTACTCTGGCCCGTCTTCATGAAGAACCAGTTGGTCATGTCTTCCTCTCGCGTTCTTGAATTTAACTTCATTCAACGATTTGTTATCGTATCAGGTTTTTAAAAAACTCTGTAAAACTCGCTCCCAGTTTTAGCTGTGGCCCATTCCTTCACGTGAAGGCTGCAGACCAATCCTTCGGGTTACCTCCGGTTTTTGATATCTCTCTTGTGTGTTAACTTTACTTTGTTTTTTTACCTAAATTACCGCCGTGCTGTGTCTTTTTGCAGGTTGCTGAACTGTTGTCCCTTGAAGATGTGGATCTTACTCCGGATCAAATCAAAGACGTTATCGTTTTACTTGAGAAAGAAAACAAACTGCGAAAAGCTGATGACGAGGAGCAATCAAACAAAATCTCAGAAAGAGCTGAGTAACACACCTCGTTACTTAAGAAATTCGAAATATCCCTGTAATTCTAAGTTGTTATAACTGTCTTGATTTATAGCATTGTTGAAAGCATGAACGTGAAGGATCATACTCTTTTGTACATTGAAGTATTCATTTTGAACTTGTTCTTTTTTTTTTTTTTTTGCCTCCAACATGGGTAATCTGACCTTGGTAATATGATGCAGAATCGGTAGCAAGTTTGCCATTTTATTTAAAGTTTAAAATATGAAATTTTTTTAAGCCAAACGCCAAACGAGGTGCAAGCTTTGCAAGCAGGTATAAAAGCCAAAATGGCAGCCAGACAATGAATGTATTAATATTTTAATAACCGACCATAACTGTGTTCCCGTTCACAATAGAGCCTTCTCGAAATGGCTACAGAAATTGAAAATTTGTTATCTAGAAAATTTTATTTCAAGTGAGACATGGTTAAGATTTAAAATCAAGTTAACTTATATCATCGGAGGAATGACAATCTACAGATGTTTGTTTGATTCCCGGTTTGGCGCAAACCCCAATTCATGGACTGTCTATTGTTTTTAAACTAAGAAGTCACATTTTCTCGGTTGAAATACAATACGGCTAGATTAATTTTTTTTTTTTTATTTTTATTTTTTTTATTAAGATAACTGAAGAAAGGGTGCTTACTTAGGTGCTGGAAGGGATTTCCAAAATAGATTGGTGTTTGGTGTGTCATTTGTTTCAATCTGGAGAACGATCTCTACACTTATGGGTCCCCTTTTTAAGGTTAAGACTGTCCCAGCTAACCTGATTTTGGAGAAGTATGTAGCTTAAGTTTATTTTCTGTTTTACCAAATGATAGTTTATCATCGTGTAGCCATTCTATCTCCAATTGAGAAAGCCAATTTTCAGAAACAGTTTAGCCCACCCAATGAATCAATTAGCTAAAAGAACACAATAAAAAACGAGTAATTGAGAGCTGATGTTGTTGTTGTTGTCTGATAAGAAACATGACGTAAAACTTGACACCCATGTGAAGGTTTCCTATTGCCAAACAATGCGTTTGTTGAAGCCTTCGCCGGCAGGGGCTTCAACACCTTTCTTCATAAGCAACTGGCGATAGTGTATAGTTGCATAGACACCTTCATGATGCGGAAAAATCCTGGATAAGCTTGGTCAGCTACAGGCGGCCTCGAGTCAGTTTTTTACGGGGAGTACAATGGTGGTAACTGCAGACCAGGCAACATTGGAATTGACCGGCATCTGACGCTACATTATGAAGTCAAAGTTTGAACTTCAATGACGTGCATGGTGGACAGAGGCCATCTGCAACGATATTAAATTCGTCAGACATCGAATGAGCACGTTACGAAATAACCGACATTGTCATTTTGGGTAAATTTGACGTGCTCGTTGCAGTTGATGTAACTGTGAGGAACTGAGATGAAGCTTCGTTGTTCGACGCTGTCCTCATCTCAAAAGACTTACTCCTTGGCAACTGTGCGCCCGTACACATGCTTCTGTTTAGCTTGCGGTTTGATGTGTTACATGTTGGAACTGTGGTGCTGTATTCAGAAACACTAGGGTTTAGCCAATTTGCGGAGAAGAGTATGATAACTTTGGGAACCAAAAGTCCACACAGTGTTATTGTTGCGATCACAATGAGAGTTCCGGATGTTAAGTAAGCTCGTACGTAAGAACTGGACGCATTAAGATAACTTGGGATGAAGATTATCCACACAGAACACGTTAGATACATACTGATGCCGATGTATTTGGCTTCGTTGAAATTTCTGGGGAAATTTCTCGTTTTAAACGCAAAGATAGTGCAGAGAAACATGAGAAGAGAGTTATAGCAAATATGAACTATCAAGGAATACTCATTCACTACACACTGCAAGATGACAGTCCCTTCAGAGGGATACACCTCTTCGACCTCGGGTACTTCTGAGATGTACCACAGTGTGGTTAGTAACAGCTGTACTGCTATTAGCCCCATGGAAATGAAGACTTGGGATCCCGGGCGGGTAAGTGAAGGCCGGTTAACTGAGCTTTGAGCGCTTTTGAAGATGCGGTAAATACGAATTGTTTTCATGAGCACAGGAGCATAGCACGTTGTAAAACATACGCTTCCCAGAAAACGCCGTGCGCTGCATATCGTGTCTGTCGGTTTGCCCAGGAATGTGAGCGGTGTTATGTAACAGAGCATGATTCCCATGAACACGATGGCGCTTAACTCCCTTCCTGCAGCTTTGATGTGATGGTGACGTCTGTGCTTGATGTAAGGCACCGCTGTTCCAATAACACTAAGCACTCCTAAAACAACAAAGATGACAATGGTTACCGCGGGCGTACTTGACCATTCTGGATACAGAACCGGTATTTTTATACAAACTGACAAGTTGTCGCTGGGAGAGTAGCCAAGCGGACATGACTGACAGGTTTCATCTTTGATGATGTCATTGGCTTCACAGTTTATACAATCCCAGCAACATTTGGGAGCTCGGCTTCTGGGTTTGCGAATTTGGGAATCATTGCAGGCCCTGCTACAAAAGGAACTAGGAGGATGAGATTTGTTTCTTCCCCAGTCTATGGCCGATTCGTTTATTTTCAGTTTTCCTCGGACTTGTTTCCCCGCTATCAGCCTTCCTTGCCATTTACCAACATTAGAGTAAGTCCACTTACCACCTGTCCCTATATGAAAATTTTTGATGTCGTAAATTCCGTCTATTTCTTGATTTTGATTGAAATGGATACTGAAGTTTAGCGCCGAGTCTGAGAAACTCGCATTTCTTAAGAAATCAAGCAATTTCTCTCTTTGAAAGTTTCTGGTCATGTTTTGACACAACCCTGCCACCCCTAGACAGTAGACTTGTTGTAGGTTATGTAGAGCGTGCGCCATGGCGTAAACTGCATTGATTACCACTCGAACGGGCGCCATTTCTATGTCAACAGGCAGCCTTTCTTCACCTGCACAACTTCTCGACATCAGTGGATTGTTTTCTCCCTTTCCCGGCATGTTGCACTTCACAACTGCTTCCCAAAACTCTCCAAACCAGGGATTAAACTTGTTGTCACTCGGTGTTAAATTCCTGAAGTATGTATGGAATCGCTGGACTTCTCCCTCCAGGTGATTGACGGTCAAAGAGCCATCGGCTACCTCTTCCCTTCCTTCTGTGACGTCAACACGATTGCTCCAACCGTTGCTCCCAACCCAGGTAAACTGCGTCGCCCCAGCCTCTTTAGCGGCGTGAAGCAAGTCAGCCGAGTCGGCCTGGGTGGTGAATATCACAACAGTGTTGACTGTCTTGGAATTTTCCGTTCTTTTCCTGAGGAAGTCGTCGATCACTTTTTTAAAATCGTCGTTGTTAGGCAGACTTGGGAGTTGCGCAGAATGCGCAACACAAATCTCTGCTGCTTGGGCAGCTTTTCGTAACTCAGCCATTCCTTTCTGTCCGTAATTTCCATAAGAGTTGACTGTGAATATGTAATCCCAATTATACTCCTTCAGTACATCCACCATGGCGTAAGCCTGAAAGGAATCAGGTGGGACGGTACGAAAAAAGTAACTATAAATCTCCTTGTTGCTTAAATCCGCGCTAGTTGATCCATAACTGACCTGGGGAATGTTAAACACACGCAGTAAATTTGCTACTGCGATTGAAACATCACTTACGAAAGGACCGATAACACCCGCCAAGGGTGGACTGTGGTCGACTAATGTATATTTTATGATGTCTTTAGCGCGATCGGCACCAATCGTCTGACTTCGGCAGGTGTCGTAGATCTTCGCCCCGAGGGTAATGTTTGGGAGGAGGTTCGGATTGTTATTGATTTCCTCAATGGCAAACAGCATTGCAGTTAAGTATTGGAATCCTGGATGTGGGTCGATATTGCCACACGCATTTTCGGTTTGTTTGCTTCGACGATGAATTGGGAAAAGTCCTCCCAGTATTATGTCACCGTTAAGCTCAATAGTCTGAGTTTCTGAAAGCAAATAAAAAAGAAATAACCCGTTTAGTATTGTTTACAACTGCTTTATGGTGAGCCAGGCCGTTACATGGCTCGTATAGTAGCTTAGTGGGAGAGCATCGGGGCGAAATATCCAAAGGTTTGAGATTCCCGTCTTTCTCGATAGGCTTAGAATTTTTCTTTGTCCAACTCAGTCATTGTTTCAAATTTATCATCTTCCTTCTTACTATGTTACATGTTTTCAAGGCTACATTTCTTAAGTAAACCATAGGTTATTATAACACAACCAAAGTTAAGCGCGCGCTCTGATTGGTCAATTTAGCGTCCCCCATTTTCCCATGGGTGTACGCTGCTGACGTGAGCAAATGCAAAGACTATTTTTCCGCGCGCGCTTGTTTTTTTCTGGTCGGTAAGATTTGTTAAATAAAAGGGAACTCTTTAGCTACAATGTATCAATGTTATGTTATAAAACAAATGGTAAACACCACAGCGTACACTATTGAGTTATGGATGCACTTGGGAGGTTTGCTAAGCACTCAAGAAGCTAGAGTCGCTCTCGGCTATCGCCTCGAGCGACTCTTACGCTTCTTTCGTGCTTAGCAACCTCCCGCGTGCATCCATAACTCAATAGTGTACGCTGTGGTGTTTACCATTTGTTAAAGAGAGTTTGCTTCAGTCTCTTACTCTATTTTCTCCTCGATATCACTAACATTGTTACGCAAATAGATTCTCGTCATTTACAACCGAAAAAGGCAATTATATTTGTTGTTAAAAACTGCTTTATCTTAACAGTTGGAGAACATGTTCTGGGTGTCCTAAGGTAAACGGTAGACGAGATGATGAAGGGCTTTAGCGACTGAGTTGTGGATGAACAAATGCTTTTATTTTTAGACGCTTAACCGTAGATCTCCGAACTATTCAACAATTTCTCTTGCCGCGGTGACAAATCATGTAAAATCAAACCTTTTAACAAATACCTTCACGAAGGCTTCGAGAAAACTCAATATAAACTTTACAGTGCTCAACGCAGCGTTAAGACCGTAAAATTGAAAAAAAACTGAACAGAATAGAGAGGTTTTAACCCGGTGGCCTTCTGGCACCGTTCGAAGATGCCGTCACCGCGCATGTCCCATATGGGAACCCAGGCGACGACCGCGCGTCGACTAGCCGCAACAATTTCTTACATATTGGTTATCAACACCCAACACGAGACCCTGCACTAACGTGAGGTTAGACTCAAGTTAGTCTACAATCAAATAACTTACACTAAGACGGAACTTCGATTTACCTTGTCCGACTGAAATGGCTGACCAATAGCACTGCATAGCAAGTCCCAAGAGATTGAGTGAGAACCTGGTAACAAGTTGCATGATTCAAAATCTGAAAAATGAAATATATTCATATAATTATTAACTTGAAGAGCTCCAAAGTCGCAAAGCGACTTTCTCATCTTGGTCATTAAAGGACGAAATTCATGTTAAAATAGCGGTCCTCTCTCGTATGAAATTTGAAAATAGCCGTTTTCCCTCTTATGAACTTAATTTGAGATTTTTATTTGATGATCATGGCTTTTCTTAACCTTTCTAAATTTGCAAAGTTTCGAAAACAGTGGTGCATTTATGCTGTTGCTTTAATATATTCATGTGACGAAACCAGGTACAACACAAATACATTCACAATAACAACTTGTAATGATGTAAACTTCATCTGACCTGAGGGTGAAAATCTAGCGAAGGAATTATCCTGACTCGCAGGTGACGAGCCGCAATTCAGTTTGGCAATTGCTGAAAAGAAGTCTGAAAAAATTCAGGCTTCGTCCGGGTTTTATGGGTGCTTCTACGAGCCGATCTGAGCTAAAACTGACACTCCGTTGAGGAGTGTGTATTCACAACATTTTAAACCTTTCCCATCTTATCACGCGTCTGAAATCAAGCTGATATTAGAGGGACGAAGTCATCCTTGAATATTATACAACAAATTAAACTAGAAAACAAAACACGCTAAACAAAACAAAACGATCAGAGCGCCTACTTGATGTGGTAACAAGTGTTCAGTTGCTTGTACGTACGTGTCTTCTCAGTTTTTCTTTGGATATAAGCATACTTTGATAAGGCGACAAGACTGTCATCGCCATAATGTTGACATAAACATTTGCAATATAGCATTTAGACTTGTCGCCAAAACCCTATCAATCATTGTTTTAATCAGCTTGAGCAACTCTTATTTACTCAGTTTAAACAGCTGAAGATTGTGCACATATATTTCACGGTTAATTTTCAAGACTCTCGCCTAATTATACCTTTATGTCAATAATCTTTGAAGTATGTTCATTTTATAAGATAATCACATCAGTTTCGGAAGTCCAGGACTGCCTCTAGGTAACTAGCAAATTACATCTTAGAAGTAAAAAAAAAGTTTCTAGGCATCCCACTTATCTCCCTAGTGACACCTTTAGTTTACCTCACCCCATAAATTGTGTTTTCTAGTAAATCAAAATTAAGGCTTTTGTCCTCTTGTAAATAAAAATTTAATTTGACCGATTTAAGGCTCTTACGAGGTGTGCATAACCGCTGAATGATTCCTGACATCTACAAATAAAGTTATTTATTCCTTATCTTTTTTTTTTATTAAAAGCTCTGATTTCCGTTTTGTGCTCGAAAAAGTGAGTCAGAGTTGCAAGAAATGGCACTGAAGCCAACGCATTTGGACGTTCTGTACATAAAATCAGATTTTAAATTTGTTGTAGACCTTGCTAGGAGCTCTTAGATTGTCATGTTGAGGTAATGGCAGCTTGTTTGAAAAAAAGATATTGAAAGTTAAATCTGTTGTTAAACCATTATCCACGGTTAAAGAAGCAGTACTCATACCATGCAGCATTTGAAGTTTTTTTTTCTCGTAACAGCTCTAACCAGTGAGTCCATGAACTTGTGAAAAGATAACAGAAACACTACTTGCTTGACCCGCGCCGATGCCAAAGTGCCATCACTTTTGTTTCTGTAGACTGTTTATTCCTTTCCGTGAATTCAAAATTTCCTTTCCCTTCCGCAAGGAAACAGTGAAAATACTGCATACGCAGTTAATATCTACCTACTCTCAGTCAAGTGAAATTTAAAACAAGCCCCTTTGGATATGACTGAAACGTGCAAGAACCATCAAAAACTCAACATACGAGAGATGGTGCTGAAGTTTGAGCTTGATCTTTGAATAATGAAAGATGTTTCAGCTGCTTTTGCAGGAAGGCAGTGAACTTCCTCGGCGATGAAGATATTTTCTATATAGATTCTAAATATTTATTAGTAGAGAATCTCGCGACGAAAGGATATCTCCCAGATACAGACAACACTATGTCATTCTCTGTGGACTTCGCTGTTTATTCATATATTGCATATGGTTAAAAATTATCGTCACATTCTAAAACGCCTTCCAGAAATTATACATAAAACTTAAATGGGCTTATCGTGAAATCTTTTTAAAAGAAAGATATCGAACGCCATTTTCCACACCAAGAAATAGCTGTTTGTTAGAACTATTATTCCTTTCACCTACCTGAGTTCTGGTGTAGTAATTTGATAACTTCTTTTCTTACTCGAGTTTGTTAAACTTTGGCCTTTGGTTTTCGACAACGTTTAGTTTTCCAGCACTCTTTAATCTATATTTTGTATACTTTCTTCCAGGAAAAAGACGCTGAACTCGACCGATCTCACACACACTGACTTCATTTGAATTCGACACTTAACATCGGCTCGTGTTGTTTGATATTTCACGACATTTGATCCGTGCAGCTGGCAATTTGATCTGTTGAATTTACGTTTCAACCGTAATTAACTTTATCGAAAAATAGAATTTCATAATTAATCGCTTACCTATATGCTGAAAATGTTAGGGTATGCTACCATTTTTCATTGCATTTGAACGCCAAGGAAATAAAAAAACTAAAACAAAGGAGCATTGGGGAAATACGTTCGAGGTCGCCGAGCGAACAGATAACAATGAAAAAAGAATGAATTTAGATTACGTTACAGATAAGCTTAGTGTTTTATTAGCTAAACTGAAAACATAACAAGTCATTAAAAGTGAACTTTTTTTGTACATCGTAACTACACGTTTCTTCGTATGCAAAATGAAACGAGAGCACCCTCTCCGAAATTACCCTTCGGCTGAAGATCAATGGAATCACTGAAAACTCAAGTCGACGTTTTGCATCAGTATCAAATAACTTTGAACAATTTGGCTTATTTTTCTCTTCCCCAAGCCCTCTCGGTCGTTGTTGCGTAATACATGACACCCACCAAGCCGAGAAAGCTTCTCTATTGTTATGTAATTCAGTGTGCTCATCCCAAGGAAAGTGGAGAATATGAAGCTGGACTAGATTATGAAAGAGACAGAACAATATCGTGTAAGACTAAGTACTGAATATGTGTTGCGATAGTCACAATGCAGTAAAGGATGAATGGTTTCAATCGGCTGGTGGAAACTTTCCATTAAACCTCAATGGTTTTTTTAATTTTCTAGGGCTTTCAGATCGGAGTCTTCCTGAAAGTCATTGAGGACCAAGAGTCTTAAGTAATAAGACCATTTATGCGCAGAAATCAATCCGCCGCTAACATGAGAAGCAAACTCCTAAGAGGCAAACAATTGGTACAGTTCTTTAGAAGCTTATGTAGGCCACGTTTATGTCAAGAGGAGGGTTTTGAGCGCTTTTCCTTGCATTTTTGTCCCTCAGCCTGAAACAAAACAAGGCTAGAAAAGTTGGATCGCATTCTTTAGCCTACCAGTCACCGTGTTTCAGCAGAGAAGTTGATTTTATGGGTAATGGGTAATTTGTAAAACTAAGGACATAGTGTCGACTGTTGTTATTGAAATAAATTCCACTGTAACTCCAAGTTGGCGAAAAATCAAAAACCGAAAAGCCAAACTAATTTATGTTCATTAAAAGGTAGTAAATATTACACTTTACAGCAATAGTGCATCAGTAACTCCATCATTAAAAAGTTGCCATCCCTTTACAATCGTTGAGTTTGAAATATTCCTCGTAATAAATTAAAGTTAGCATTTAAAAATGACCTTTCACCGTCACAGCTCGAATCAAACCAATCAAGCCCTTACCTTTTCGAATGAAAAACCGGCTTATTTCGCTCTTTTCGACAGCATTTAAGCCTCGTCAGAGCCGTGTGACATTTCGAACCATAACAAGTTCACGAACCTGCCATATGGTTTTTCTTTGATATAATATTTCTTTTGTTCTCGTTTTAGAAGCTTAACAATTGCGATTAGTTTCATTTAGGAGCGCGCAGCAAGAATTCTTTGGCAACAAAAAAATTAATAACCACCTCTCCGCGATATGTGAACAAAAGTCAATTTTCCAGTTTCCATTTACGGACTTATGCAGTATGCCATAAAACGCTACGTAGTTACCACCAACCTGCTAACGATAAAAGCATTCTTTTTTTGGCGGAATACCTCCAATTGGGTTAACAACCTCCGAGTGTGGTCCCTAACACTCAACGGTGAATTTTGAAAGTCTTTATTTTGTTGTGACTTTTTCAAGCACGGCGAGAACTTTTAATATTGCTTTTAAGTCCATTGAATACATTTCTCTTTGACAGCTTGTTCCGGTTTTAAATGTTCTGTAGGAGAGAAAATGTAATTGCTCACTGTATTTATTCATTGTCTACTCCCGCGGCCTATGCGGCGAATAACTTCCCCACAGGTTTGAGAATAACTTTTGAGGTGGGGAGTTAATTTCCGCTCCTTGCACGCTTGAATTAACACTTTAACTCCCAAGAGTGACCAAGACAGAATTTCTCCTTACATTATCATTTCAATATCAAGCAGAAAAGTGGTAAGAATATCAATGTAGAAAACTATCAATTAGGGGATCATTGGGTGATCCAATACCATATTCCCTGAACTAGCATCAAGAGAACTGCATGGCAGATAGCGAGGAACATTATACTAATAAGATCTTGCGAGTAGAAAGGTACCAGCATTAACAAAGATGTAAAGAGTGTTGTTTCAGTTATGCTCCAAGGCTCCTTTCAAATCTTTTGGTTCATCCATGAAGTATTGCTTATTTTTTTTACCAGCGAAAGTAAGCTAATCGGAAAGGGCAGAAAGTAGAAGCGTCAACAAAAAGGTCCCTGTTATGACGTATGCTAAGCACGTGACTCACCTCGTGCGTAGTTGTTGTTAGTACATCCGCCATTAAACTAGTTGAGTTAATATTGCAATTGACTCTATTCTCGTCTCTCCGAAAACTACAGTCTCCATAAAGGGGAACAGAATAGTAACTTTCAAAATTGGTTGAGCTTTAATTACAAGATCTCTTGTGGCCGTCAATTGTGGAGTGGCCACAAGCCGGTTGATGAAAATTACTTCTCGCGATCCTCCGAGTAGATACATCATTTCCGACATTTCATCGCCCTTGCTCCACCTATGAGCACCTTTGCCTTCTCTCACGCCCTCGCCGGCTTTGTAAGAGCTTATAAAATGCACACTCGTTTTGGATTCATGCTATTTGACTTGAGCTTCAAGCTCTAAATCGGCCATATTACGCGGCCAAATTTATCCGAAACTGAGCGGGTTTCCGTCAATTACAAATCCCTTCAAAAGGAAGCTTGACTGTTGACCATAAGATTGACTCAGGTATAATTTCACTGTTCTACACATTTGTAACATAGGAAAGAAACAAGATTTTACCTCAAACGATATACTAAGTACTTAATGTAAATCTACGATAAACTACCTTTTTAAAATTATTATGTTCTTGATATCGAGCTTATTACTTTGCAATCAGACCACGAATGTTACAAAACTTGATTAAAAATTGCTTCGATAACATTTTAGATTGAACATATTTTGAATTACCAATTGATAACTTTCTCATTTGTGATCTTCGCTCAGTCACTATTGACTTAGATAAGAGGTATCGGTTTACAGCCGAGTTATTTCTTTTTTTGTGCGTGTGTTTTAAATGTTGGAAGTTTGGTGTCATGGTTTATAAACGAATATAAATACGATATTTATAACTTTGCTGAAAGTTGATTTTAGGACCCCATAGTCATAGTATCTCTACGATGTTCGCTTTTGCTCTTATCATCCATGGTACAGGTTAGTGTAGATTCCCCACTCGGTTCAACTACATTGCCAAAATACACAAGCAAAACTTTGGGCACGAGAAGTCCTAACAGAGTTACTGTTCCGATGAGAAACAGCGAACTGCACAAGAAATAAGATTTCCAAATGCTGTCAGCTGCGTTTAAATAACAAGGGAGAAACACTACCCACACCGAACATGATATGTACATCGTTACGCCAATGTACTTAGCTTCGTTAAAATTTCGTGGGAAATTCCGGGTTTGAAACGCATAAACGGTTGATATAAACATTAGAATTACGTTGAAACACAAGTTTATTGCCACACTGAAGTCGTCCGTGCTGCACTCCAGGATCACGCGGTCTTTGTAGCCGTAATATTCAACAGACAATGGAGGTTTTGATAAAACCCATATCATTGTTATTAGACATTGCGTAGCGATAATACCAAGGGCTACAAATGTTTGCGAGAGTGGGCTGATCATGGTTGGTCGTCGAACTGACTTCTGGGCAGCCTTGAATATGCGATAAATGCGGTTTGTTCGTAACAAGACAGGTGCGTAGCATGCTGTCATGGAAACACTGTCAGTAAAGCGTTTGGCGCCGCATATTGTGGCCTGCGGTTTCACAAAATGCAGTAACGCGGCGATGTAACAAAGAATGACTCCCAGGAATAGAATTACACTAAGCTCTCTTCCAGATGCTTTTACGATACGATTTTTTCTTTGCATGATAAAAATCACAGCAGTAGCAATGCTGGCAATAAGTCCAGCAGATATGAATCCAGTCAAAACTTGCGCAGGCGTGTCATTCCATGTCGGGAAGACAACTGGTAGTTTGAGGCATCTTGTCATGTTGGTATCTGGTATCTTTCCTTTTCCGCACAATGAGCACGTGTTATTCATAATGATATCATTCGACCTGCAGCCCTTGCATCGCCAACAACACCGAGCGTTGGTAATTTCTGGAATTGTTATCTTCCTGGCAGGACATGCTTTGCTACAATAAGATAATGGAGTGGTTGTCTTTCCTCCACCCCATACAATCTCGTCATCATCCAATCTGATATTTCCCTGGATGTTTCCGTCCTCATTGAGTGCACCGCTCCAGTTTCCAATGATAACATGCCTATGTCTTCCTTCCACTTTTTTGAAATTCAGGACATTATAATTTCCATCCACATCTCCGTTTTGGTTGAAAGTCACGTTGAAATCAAGCGACGCATCTGGAAAAGACACATTCTTTAAAAAGTTCAAGAATTGTTCCCGTTTCAGATTCTGCATATCGCTGCAGAGACCGCGCTGACCAGCACACAGCGTCAAATGCATGTTGTTGAGCGCATGCGCCATGGCATACACAGCATTTATCACAACACGGACAGGTCCGATTTCCAAGTCCTGAGGAAGAGATTTATTTGTTGAACATTCCTGCTGGTAATCGAGTGGTTTTGACGAGTTTTTGAGCTTACACTTCAGCGTTTCCTGGTAGAATTCTTCAAACCACCGACCGTACTTATTCAGGGACGGTATCATGTTCAAAAACTTTTTCTTGAAGGAGTCAACTTCGCCTTCAATATAATTCATGGTGATTGCTCCTTCGCCTGCTTCGTCTGCCCCTTCTGTGACTTGTTTTCGATCTCCCCACGCGTTGCTTGCAAGCCAGTAAAATCGTTCGCCATTTTCCAACACTTTTTGTGCTGCACGGACTAAACCTTGATTATCTCGCTGAATACAAAATAGAACAACAGCATCCAGTTTGCCGCGAAAATTCTTTTTCCTAATTTCCAAGAGTTCTTGAATGGTTTTATCAAAATCTTCCTCCGTCGGGAACGAAGGAAGCTTCTTCTTGTTTGCAATACAAATTCCCGCACGTTCTGCCTCTTCGTAGAATTTGACCATGCCTCTCTCTCCATACTCCCCCGGGGAATACACGGTCATGACGTAACTCCATCCAAAATGACGAACAACATCCACCATTGCTTTACCCTGATACGAATTTGACGGTACAGTGCGTAAAAAGTAACCATACAGATCTTTATTGCTCAGAACTGGGGTTGTTGAACCATAGCTGACCTGAGGGATGTTAAACACACGGAGCAAATTCGCAACAGCTACAGAAACGTCACTTCGGAAGGGTCCTACAACGCCTGCTAACGGCGCAATGCCATTTTCATCACGGAGGGTATACTTTATTATTTCTTTGGCACCTTCGGAACCAATCGTCTGACTTCGGCAAGTGTCGTATATTTTCGCCCCCAGCGCGATTCCTGGAAGAATATCCGGACTGTCGTTTATTTCTTCAAGAGCATACAGCATGGAAGCGAGGTACTGGTATCCAGGAAGTAGGTCTATGTCCCCACAAGCGTTCTCTGTCGTGCCACTACGGCGATGGACTGGAAAGAGGCCTCCTAGAGTGATGTTTCCATCGATATGGAGAGAAATTCGATCTCCCTTCTCTAAAATTAGAAAAATATAACATTAATACCAGAGTCGATACCTGTTTCACCTTCGTGCCAATCGCAGACACTATAAAGTAAACTTTACGTTAAAAACGCGAGGAAGGACATGACAAGTTGCCACCCCCAAAAGGAAGCGCAAAGCTTATTTACGTTTTAGAAACTTTTACAGATATAGCATCAAATCTGAAAAGAAAATAAACACTATCGTCGCCTTTTGCAGCTGTCAAAAGAACTGCGACATTTCCTGAGAGCTGAGCGGACGTACCAAGACAGACAGTCAACTACCTTATCTAATATAAAGTTTACCTACCTGATTGTTTTTTACCATAATTCCCCTAATTTCGTAAATGAATAATTTTTATAGTTTTTTTTAATATCTCAACAATAACTCGCCACAAAACATTTACTCGGTTCTAATAAATGCACCAATTATCTTAATTCATATTTGAATATTTCCGTAATTGCGAACATTATGATGGTGGCTTATTTTTCATCATTTTAACTTTGAATTTGTTATTTTAATTTTCCTTTTTATATCGCAAACATCTGTAACTTAAAGTTCGCGTATTTTATGAAAGGAAGCAGCAACTCATGTCAGACACTGTCACTGATATAAAGCTTATCTGTTGGAAGCACTTTGCACTGAATCTTCTTCAAGCACTTGTTCGAAAGAAATATTAGTTTTGGATCGTCATACGAATCACATGACGCACCACAACAATAGGCTTAGCATGTGGCAACAGACAGAGTAAGGCACAGGACTAAGCAAAAAAAAAAGAAAGAAAAATAACATGATTGTTCTGTGTTAAACTGATATTCTACAATTGCTAAATTGTGTGCGAATCGATGAGAAAATATTAGACACTTTTTTTGTCAGAGAGGCGAGGAGAAAAATTTAAGTACGCCCAGAGGACTTCAACCTCAGCCAGGTCCTACCTCGGGCAAGTAGTCAAATGCTCAACAAACTGAAACTGCAGAAAAGTCGTTGATGAACGCTAGATTTTATGAGAGAAAAGCGTCGTGCTTTATACGTAGAAGAGCACTTTGGAATGTGTTCTTGGTGAAGATGACGAAAGGTGGTGGACCGGAGTGAAAGATCGTAAATTATAACTGGGCAAGATCACTGTAAGAAATAATACTTTTTCCGCAGGTTATGCTGCATTAATGAGCCCGGAACTATTCACTTTTGCCAGTTGCTAATATCTCCCCTTTACCCTTTTCTCCAAAATAGGTGCTAAAAACAAAGAGTTCGCCCCGCATTAACTGTACTGTTACTCTTACTTTTATATACCCAGGTTCGATCAATAACCCATTTCAAAGACTCTTTTAGTAAGCTGACATGACCGCATGTTGCGAGAGGGAAATATGTAATTAAGACTGAATCCCGCCGGACACCCAGAATGAATGACTCGTTGCATACAGATTCATGATCATTCGAAACAATCTCTCAGTTTCTCACCCTTTTCATCTATTTTCGCCTGTAAATAGCAGCAGTTTATTAAGGTAATACCAATGAATAACCAGATGTTGGAAGCCATTTAAAATTTCTGCGTGGTTCAACGTCCTTGGTTAAATTTCGTACCTCCTTCTGTAAACGAATTACACGATAACGTTAGTAAATTTTAAAATGAAAATTTGCGATCTATCTTTCCTTTTTATTAAACTCTCGTAATTTTTAACCCTTATTGTAGGTCAAGTGGTTCAGTTTTCAGGCTCAGAGGCAACAAACGAGGAATTTTAACCAAATTTAGGACAAACACAAAGGAATTAAAGATTGTGCTAATTAAGTACAAGATGGATCGAAATGAAAAGTGTTAAATGAAAAGGGAAATGGAAATGTCACAGAATGGCACATTTTTTATTAAATTAAAAAAATTCAGAGGAAACGTTTATCTTTAATGGTATCCGAAATGCCAATCTACAAAAGAAATTTACTTTGGAAAGTATATTCAAACACATATTTTACAATACCATTTTTGGTTCAGCTCGCGGGGCATAAAGTTCAACTGCTTTTCTCAATAAAATCATGATCGTGCAATAAAATCGTGCACAAAAGAAGTTATTGACCAGGAGAGTTATCAAATTGAAATAGTTTCCCTCTTTCCATCAACTAATCTGGGGAAAAGTTAAACTTCCTGTCGTGGGAATTTTTTAATTTCCCATACAAATACGAAAAAGCGGAAACCGTTTATAAATGAATATTTACCACGTTTCTTGGAAGAAACTCCAGGGATATTTTTACGAATTGAAGATCTATTTAGTGTTAATTCACATATACTCTTCTCTTGTAGCCTGTTATTTTCCCTTTTCCTTCACAGATAGCTTATAGCACTATGCTCTTTCAGCTTCAAAATAACCTGCTTAAATGTCACCTTTGGCTTTAAAAACACCCAATATATATGTCCTCTTAACAATTATAACCAAACTTTGCCAAATTAAAAATAACAAAGTCTACTTCTATCAAGAGCGTTGAAAGAAAACTACAGGAAAAGATATCTTAAAACTTACCTGTGCCTTTAATGCAACTACAGCTCAGTAGTGCGAAGATGTGATAATTTTCCGTCTACGATTTTACAATACTTAGTTAAATAAACACACCTGCGCTCATGAATACTAATTCCCTCTTTTAACAGTAAACAACTTGGGTTTTAATTCGAAATTCAGAATAGAAATATGTGTTGAAACCAGAATTTTTGAGGGCTGTGAATTCAATCAAACTGTTATATAGTTTCAATTCAAACTTGTCTCATTCTTTCATTCGAATTTAATCTGCATTAAGGGGATTTTTTTGTTTTAAGAACTGACGCACACCTCACGAGTTGACAAAGGGAAGGACAGTTCTGAAATTCTATGAGACAGTTTTCGAATTAAGGTAAATACGTCGATTTTTCTGATAATATATACAAATGCATCACGAACTGAAAATGCTCATAACAAAAGTTACATCCAATTAACAGGTTCCTCTCCCAAGAAAATTTTTTAGGCTGAAGAATGAAAGATTTTTGCTGAAGGCTACATGTTTACATGAACTGAGGATTCATTAGGGACATGTCCCTCGTACCCAGCTGCTATGACAATTTGCCCAGTTGTGGTCAATTATCTCACAATCTAGATTTGGCGGTGAAAAGGATGTACTATGTCAACTGCACTTCTTTTTGCGAAGAATGTTTTAAATCAAATCTATGTCAGATCAGAGCTACTGAAATGCAGATACGTTTTGTTTGAATATGTTTTCCGGACAATGCCGGATAGGACATCGATATGTCTCAGTTAATGAGGACTTCTGTCATATCAAAATTACTCAAAGCAAAGCCAGATAACAATAGAAACAGCTTAGTAAAGTGAAAAACTATTGCGTTTCAACACTAACACAGGGTAAAAAAAAACCACTTGCATGAAATAAAAATAGGACGCCTTGTAAATTGTTCAAAGATAATAAACTGTTGTGATCTCTCTTCGATGAGAATGCCGTTGTCTAAGTCTTTGGTAGGCAAGCGCTGATATATTTCGAGGAAATGTACAGTTGAAAAGGTATCCATTCATTTCAAACCCACGGTCGTTTTGTACCCAACTTCAGACGATTCGTACCCAGTCTGAGTCGGTTCTTACCCGAACGGCTGGTCGATTCATACCGGTCCCTAAAATACATTCATTATAATTGCCTCACACAGATGTCGATTGTCGTGTACTACATATAAGTAAATTCAAGCAAGAAAGACACAAAATTGTGTTGTGTGTACTTGTCACCTTACATTATTTCCTGCAGTGTGATCTCTTTTAGAGAACTGTTTGTTTACCCCGCGTAGGGTTGCTAGGTCAAGGTACGTTTGACCCTTTCTCCTTTTGTTATTAACGGAGAAGCGATATATCTGCTGGGCTTCAGGATAAAAAACAAAAGATTGTAATTCGATTCAGCTCTGTATAAATTAAGCTACCTTGTACACTAAACCGCGTTGTGGGAAGAGAAAGAATAGAGAAAAGTTGCAGCCTGAAAGCTTTTACAGCTGTTTGCCGAAAGGTTGTCACCGGGGAAAAAGGACAAATTGCCGGTTACAATCGTGAAAGGTAATCAGGATATCGGGTAATCAATGCATTATTAATCAGAGAAACAAATAATTACGGAAAAAGGACTGATGAATAGGGGATCAATACCAACATTCACGTGAATACGAGAGGAAAAAACAAACGAATGTAACGTTGTAAACATTTTGGTCACTTCGGATTCGCTCTTACCGAACACGAAGGCGCGCTATATAAGGAAGTCTTCCCTGGGAAGACCTAGGCTTATTTGTCACTCACCGTTGACGTGTGCGGGTTAAATTTAAATGCTGGTAGACGAACAAAAGGAGCTAATGAGACATCTATTGTTTACTTCCACCAGCATGGTGGCATGAGGTAACGTACGAACCACCTACTTCGATCTCAAATTTACCGCCACAAATAAAGACAGTTTGCATTGGTGAAAGGAAATGCAAATCTCAAAAATTCTTGTATTGTGACGAAGACATAAAACAATTTTAAGAAATACTCCCGCTGTTCACTGCTTTGGAGTAGCTGTAGCTCAAGCTGACTTGACTCTAAGAGTTCTACATCACACGACGGTTGATTAACAAATGGTCCAGTGGGACCTAAGGCTCCTCTTATAGCGCACCCTCGTGTTTAATTTCGTCGTTCATTATGGTCAGTTCGTTCTTCTTTTCGATCGTTTCTCATCATGTTGGGAATAAAAATTCAGTCTTGCGAAAAAAAAAAAATCCATTATATCTACTACATATATACGCCTAGGCCTCTTCCTTACAGGGATGATTTCTCAGATTTCCCAGAGTTCCTGACGTCAAGGAAACGTGACCGGAAAACTACCCACAATGCTTTTTGGGGAATGTCGCGTGCATTTTTGTTATCCCGCGGGAGACACCAACCACTTGCTACATTTATAAAAATATAAGTCCTGGCGAAAAAGCTCTTTCCCCGCTTTATTTCACGATTGAATCCGTTATGTCACCTTCGGTTCAAAACCGAAAAAGAAGACGTGGCAAACGATTTGTAACCAGGAAAGAGAATCCCAAAAGATAAGGAGATACTAATATAACAATAGATTGAAGGATAATTCTTAACGTGCACTAGATACATACATAATGAACTAAGGAAAGTGAATCCTAAAGGTGCGCGAGAGACTAACGAGACGATTGCTGGAATGAAAGATAGTCTTAAGAGTGTGCTTGGTTACAACGTCACAATCCAATAAAGAGTATCCTAAAGGTGTGCATGATACGAACTTAACAATGCAGCGAAAGAGAATCTTAAAAGGGTGCGCAAGAAACTAACGTAACAATAGATTGAAAGAGAATCTTAAAGTTTCGCTAGATACCAACATAATTCAATGAAAGAAAATCCTAGCAGTGCTTGAGACGCACGCGTAAAAAGCGAATAAATGAGAAATCTGAAAGTGAGCGGGATACTACCGCACCAATCCAACGAAAAAGAATCTTAAAAATGCCTAAAATACCAACTTAAACAATCCAGTAAAGGAGATCGCAAAAGGTGTGTGAGATGCTCACGTAACTTTCGAATAGGGGAGTATCCCGAAAGTGCATAAGATACGAACGAAACAATCCAATGAGAGAGAATTCTAAAAGTGCACGAGATACTAAAAGTAACAATCCAATAGGGCATGAGATTCTAACGTAAAAAATTTAACGAACCCGGTAAGTGCAGGGGCCCGTTTCTCGAAATTCCCGGTAACTTATATTAACGGGCCAGTAAAGTTGTTCTTTTTTGATTCAAGATGGGGATTTCAAAAAGTGTTGAAAATGATACAATAAACCTATCAGCTAAAGAAACAAAAAAGGACCGGTTTGGGTCCTAGAACCTGCTATCCTATCCTTTAAATGTTGACTTTGAAACATGGTTTCGGGCCCGTTAAGTTACCAGGACTTTCGAGAAACGGGCCCCAGGAGACACTGGCGCAGCATTCAATTAAAGAGAATCCTAAAACTGGAGTGGACTAATCACCGACGGAACAATCTAAAGGAAGCGAATTCTAAAAAAGCGCGAGATGTTAACGTACCAATCCAAGTGAAAAAGGATTATATATAGAATTGTGTCAGATATATACTATCGTTACAGTCCAATGAAAGAGAATGATAACAGTGCGCGAGATACTAGCGTAACAATGCGACGAAAGACAGCCCTTAAAACTGAGTGCAGAGGAGATAATGACGTAACACTCCAATAAGAGATAGCTAAAGGTGCGCGAGATAGGAACGTAACAGTCCAATGAAAGAGGTTCATAAAAGGCGCGAGATAGGAACGTAACAATCTAATGAACGAGAATTGTAAAAGTGTTTCAGATACTAACGTTACAATCCGATGGAAGAGAGTCCTAAATGAAAGTGCACGAGATACTAACGTAACAATTCAGTTGGCTGAGACAACCTTACAAGTGCTCGAGATACTGACGTAACATTCCAATGAAATGAAAGTTAGCGCAATCATTCCTAAGAATGAGTGCGCTAAATACTGACTTAACAATCCATTGAAAAATAAATCTAAGAGCGCGCCAGATATTAACGTAATAATCCTAGCGGAAGAGGATGTAGCAATTCATAATGAAAGGGAATCCTAA